AGAATCATGCTTAGCTAGTCGCCAAATACTTTTATAAACTTCGTTTGTTGTTTGTGATACTTCAAGTACGTCTGATTGGCATAACAATCTTATTTAGGTTTTTGTTTTTTTTTTAAAAACCGTTTCAAGTCTCACAATATGTCCATGTGTGAAGATAACAAATAAGTTTGAGTTTTTTTCCAGATCAATGCAATTCAAACTATTGATTGCACTACCACGGCACCACCGTCCTTCTATTTAGTATTGTGCTCATCGGTTCAACCTCATCTTAGGTAAGTAATCCGTTCTTCAGGTCCTACTCATGGTCGTCCTTTGTTTCGATATTAAGATAGGTCCATTGCTTTCTGATTTTGAATTAATATTTAGGTTCATTGTTTTCTATTGTTTTCATGATACGCATATTGTTAATACTCCCAGTATATTATTTAGTCTACTGATCTTCCTTGGTTGATTGTTCCGTCCTTGATCTTGTTATGTGATGTGAAATGACCGAACTTCATATATTCTTGATTTAATTTGATCACGAGAACATACATTAATGAGATGAAAGACATGCATATTTTATGCATGAAATTTGTAAATTGTCTTGACCTGTCAAATAAAACTCGATAAATCTATGATAATACGAGACACGATCATACGAGCGTTTGAGGAAAAAAAAAAAGTTCAATACCAACGATACATCCAAAAGAGGAAGTGCTTTACTTGAAAACAAGTAATCCTAATCTTTGTTGAAATAACCAAGGGTCAAGCCCAAGAACAGTAAAAAAAATGGCTACAACAGCCACCAAGTTAGTTAAAAACCAACTAATCGATCCTAATCTTCTTCTTTGAAGTCTCTAAGAGAGACAGAATAATTCCTTTGTATCTTGTTGTCTTGTTGCTTATATCATCATCAAGATCAAGCACAACAAGCTTCTTATACTATATATTTCATTATTCCAAAAAACACGTACGTTTGTGTTATCCATCACTACAATACTACTAAAACGCCACAAGAGGAGTCCAGAGAACAATGTGTCTAGAATGGTTAAATCATATGTTATCGGACATAAAGGTTGACGTATATAGCTTACCTATTAGAAGACTACATTAGAACATAAACTAAATCTCTGTTGTGAGATGAAGAAGACGAAGATCGAAGATCGTGAGATCTCTCTTTTTAGAGGATTTGGAAATATCGATGTTCCTGTTATTGAAGATAAGAGCGATACATAGTGTTTATATTAGCCTTGGTTTAGTACAAACACATAACTAATTTGTGGCTAACCGGAACAAACCGGATCACAATTACATTGTTCACTCTAATACTGCCTATACATCTTACAAAGATATCTTTCCAAAAGAGTGTCAGAAAATGTGTTTGATTTTATGCTTGATTAAAAGATTCACATTTGATTAGAATATCACTCACTATGTTGACCGATCCTGATGCTTCGGAGTCAAGTGCAAGCAACCTTATCATTGAAATTTGAACATAATTATGTAGTCCTCAAGTCAAAAGTATGCATATATTATCAATTATGCACATACAGAAATGGGTGTATGCTTCTATCTTTGATTTGACCCATAGTGGAGGAACAACAAATTCTTCTAGTTTATTTGAGTAAATCTTAACGAGAAATCCTTTTAAAAACCTATTATTGATGGTGTATGAAATAAAAAAGCAAGGGCCCAAACTGAGGATTAGTCTTTCTTTTAAAGTTGTGGTTATTATAGAGTTCCATCAATATTTGTATCTTGTTTTTTCTTTTTCTTTCCCGGAGTGTATTGCTTTATTCAAATATTGTTACATTTGTTTAAGATATTTTGCGTAAGGCAAAGGTGAAAAGTGGTTCTCCTCCATCGTTGACCTGTCTTCATCAAACTGACTCACCATAGCAAAAGTGACTATTTTATCTTCTCCTAGTTATCCGTTGATGTTTGAAAATTTTAGTCAACAAACCAATCAGCACCTCATAATAT